CTGAGAGTCAACTATCCTGGAAAGATGTTTACCCTCCCTCTCCACTTCAGCCATCCTGGATGGGTGTGATGATGCCGACTCTATCAAGCTGATAGGGAGACATAATGAGCTAAGGTGTGTGGAGGGTCCAGCAGACCATTTAGTTCAGGGTCAGTAGTAATAAACGGAAGCAGCCAGCACAGCATCAGGTGAAAGTCCAGCAGTGGATTCTTGTATTAGACAGCTTAGGTGTGGCTTGACTGATATTTGTAGTATCTCAGTGACCTTGTGTAAATGAATCTGAGGTCTCTAAGTTTCAGCTTCCTTATTTATAACATGGGTTGTGGTGAAGACTAAATGAGCTAAAATAAACAATATACTCACACTGTGCTAGCGCAAAGTAAGTGCTCCATGAATTAACATTTTTATTAATATGTGTCTAACAGAAAGAAGGTGAGGAGCAAAAAAGAGAGACATTTAACGTTTCCTGAAGTTATTTCTAAGTTATTTCTTAGTTATAGAGCAGCAAAAATGATTAACAGGTCTTTTTACCAAAGACTCCTTATGTGGAATGTAATAGTCTCCTTACATGGAATGCTGTCTGATAGCAGCATTAATTATAAATGAGTCTCCCAAACATTTGAAAATATCAGAAATAACCCTTAAAAGGAACACAAATAAATATAATAACTTTAACTTCTGTTAACTCAACAGTGTTATGGATTAAATTAGCTAAGTATCTTTTGGGGCTCCCTTTTTTCATCAGCAGTTCTGGAAAAACTGAATACAATTCCAAGTATTGAGATACATGGTAAAAAAGAAGGCTTCTTAAGGGAGCCTGCATGGCTCAGTCAGTTGAATGTTCGACTCTTGATTTCGGCTCAGGTCATAATCTCCGGGTTGTGAGATCAAGCTCTGCCTTCAGGTTGGCCCTGAGCATGGAGTCTGCTTAAAATTCTCTCTCTCCCTCTTTCTATGCCCCTCCCACTGCTCACATGGCCTGCTGTGCTCACTGGCTTGTACTCTCTCTCAAAAACAAAACAAAACGAATAACTTAAAAAAAAAAAAAAAAGTCTTCCTGAATGGCTTACTCTAAGTGAATAACATGTTAAACATAGTTATATCAGAAATCACAAGCAGAATATTGACTGTTTTTACCCATTAGGAAGCAAAACTCTTTAGTAATGCCTAATACACCTTCTGCAATTCAGCTTCCATCCTCTAAGGTAGTGACCAATTCGGCAGCTAGTATATCCAAATGAGGCTCAGGGGAGGGAGTGAACTATGAGGCCCTCAGTAGGGGAATTCTGAGAAGCTATATGATAGAAGGGGTGAAGAATCCCTGGCCATAATATGATGAGGCACACAAAAAAAGGCTGAGTCCAAAAAGAAACACCAAAACTAAGCTACTAAATATGTTTCGGAGTATGGTAGGATTTTGCCTATTTGCACGTCTCTATCCAGAACAGAGAGTCACAGCAACTTTTGAAAATACATTAGTAAGTGTTCATTACGTGACCAGTGTGCTTCTTCCAAATATTTGCTCCTTGGCTCCCTTTCGCTGTTTCTAGAGACCTTTGTATTATTCTTGGCCTCCGCCAGGGATGGGGTGAATGTTGTAAGGAAGGCTCTGAGTGAGGTTGAGAATCACCCTGGAGGAGCTGGGTGGGGAGACAAGTTGAAATTCCAGACCCTCAGTATTAATAGCCTTCTTTTACACTATTAATAATTTTTTATACAAATATCTACTGTTTTAGAAAGAATGCCATATTTTAAACTGCCATTATTCCTGGATAAATTATAAAGCCATATTACTATTCAAATTTTTATTCTGGAACTTGGAGAAAAAGTAGCAGAAAATTAATTTAATCAGTAGTATAACCATATACTAATATATAATACCATATGCTAATATATAATAATTACCATATACTAATATATAATAATGTGTAAATAGAAACTATTTTAAATTATATCTCATTTATTCATGTGAACCAAATTATGTGCTTTATGTTTTCTATAAGTAAGACTGCAGCCAGGAAATTAGAGCAGAACTTATGCCAAGGACTTCAGCACTCTGTATTTTATATTTTTCCCTTGAGACATTGTGGCAAAGATTTTAATGTAAGATTTGAACCAGCTCTGCTACTTATTAACTTTTTAACTCTCTGGCCTTAGTAAACTTAATTAACTGCATCTATGCTCAGTTTTTCTGTTGTTGTTGTTTTTTTAAAGGATAATTATGATGACCCTACAGAGTTGCTATGAAGATAAATTTGATCATGTATGCAGTATTTGCTATAGTGGTCTCAGTTAATAAATACCCAAAATGTGGTAGTTGTTATTATTCTGGAGTTCACATTGACCCTCATGAAATAACTATGTTTACAAAGAGTAGAACTCTGGCCCATGTAATTTATTCATATAAAAGGTCTTTTATCAGTTATTTCCTTTTATAAATAAAACCACCAGTATCTTAGACCAAAAAGCTCAGTCAGATACCATTCAACATCACTGGTATTGGCTGCTGGAAATGAAGCCAGGAAGCGAAGTGTTTGATTGCTTGTCTAACTTATACCTTCTTAAATTCCTCTATAATGGCCAAATAGGAGAGAAGGGAGACATTTTAAAATAAGCAGGTAAATGTGCTTAGAGTCAGGTTCAGGGTAGCTTTGGATATAGGAAGTTTCAGAGCAGTAGCACATCTTGCAGATATAAATGCATAGTCAAAGGATCTATCAAAATACTTCAGCTTCTTTTGTTTTAGGACAGTGTCCCTGGAAATGAAGGGAATGAGAATTCTTAGGAAGAGGATCCCTTAAAACAAAGTCCTGGGATAAAATGAGATAAAAATATTCTTCTAAGATGTAAACAAACACACTGCTCCTTGGTTTACTCAGTAAACATCAGTGACATTCTTTCAAATGGGTGGAACAATGTTCAAGAAGGCAAATGAATTTCATGAAAGATTGTCCAAATTCCTGATGTCATAAGAGCCCAAACACTGTGTAAAATTCTACCAGAATTATAATTTATTTCCATAAGGTTATATGGCATGGCATATGTCTAAAATTATGAGAGCATTTCTTTGCCTTAAGGAAATCTTTCCTAGATGTACAACAGTACCTTCTAAAACACAGTTATAAAGACATGACTTCAGTGACTTGGCAAAAAATTCAAAAGGATAGTGCACTGCAATTTGAGAAAATGTGATTATTATTTTTTCTTTAAAAAAAGAAAAAGCTTCTCCTGGTCTCACAATAGAGTTGTTCCTCTTCCCTCCCCCTCCATTCCCTGGTAAATAATTAGAACTCTACCTCAGATTTAAAAAGGTTAAATAAAAGGAAGGAAAGATAAGAAATGACTAAATGAAAGTGGGTGGGTCTACCAAATGTGGCTGAGTAGAATAGAATTAGCAAAGAGAAAGACTGTTGGAATAATTCCAAATCCCAAAATTTAAAATTCAATCTCTAGTTACCTTTTAAAGTCCTTAAATTTTGAGGCTGTTACCAAGGGTTGAATTTGTTCAATGCAGTAATATGCTTGCTCCTGTAGATTTGCAGTAAGTCTGGTAAGATGTCCCAGATTAGGTAAATTTAAACTATTTAAACTTGACTCATGGGAACCACACAAATTTCAGCATAATTTATATGCTTCTAATATTGCAATTTCCAAACTGTGCATGAGGTGGCTTGGAGTACTACAGTATACCCACCAGAGTGCCCTGAAGTATCATTAATTTTTAAAGTGATAGTTCAGCATCTGACAGGTAGCCATGAACTACTAGCTGGAGGTAGTTTGCAGTTTTAAGATTACATTTGTCTCTGTTCCTGTAAATGACATCATATCTTTGCAAAACTAGGCAACATGAAAATCAATGTGGAACAGGAAATGAACAGGAAATGAAAATCAATGTGGAATAGGAAATGATGTCCAGTCTGATTCTAAGGCTTGGGAAGTTCCTTCTAGTAAGTTCATTACTAAGAATGATACACACACACACACACACACACACACACACACACACGTATTTTTTGATGAATCATGTATATTACTTTTTGATGATTCATGTATATATATATTTTAATATATTTTTAATGGTTAAGTTATTTGGACCTACCTAATAACAGAACTGTCAGATTTTTTTTTTTTTTTTTTTTTTGCCTATGAAAACCAGGGGAAAAAATTATTTAGACACTAAGGTACCAAGATCAGAGAAAGTTTAAAGCTTTTGTTTTAACAGAAGAAAATTACCAAGATACTAGGGTACCAAAATCTGAGAAAGTTTGGAAGATTTTGTCCTACCATTCAGTATGAATAGTTTCCATCAGAAATAAATCATGCATCATACAGTTGACTTTCCACATGTAGAACAATAACTAATGCTGGGAAAGATGTGGTTCCAGGTGATTGTATTAAGTATATGATTCAGAGCTGAAGCTAACCCTCAGGAATCAATCCAGATATCCACTAATTTTTAAAAAAGAGAACCTAAATATAGATAAGCTTCAGAGGGAAGTAATGAGGTCCAGAATATTGGAAGTTGGCCTTGTTTTTACTTTTTTTTTTTTCTCCTTAGTCTCTATTTAGTTCTACCTATTATATTGTGAGGATTTTTCAGGCCAAATATCCTTTTCTTACCAATCCTTAATATGTTTTTACATACCTACACTGCAGAACAAGTGTGTATGTGTGTGTGTATGCTTGTGTGTGTTTCCTTTTAAAGTTCTTCACTTGCATAAAAAGTAAGCTCTTTTATCACTTTTATTTTCACATATTATACAGTGCGTTTAGCATATCAGAGAATTAGCTACTAGATGTTGTTAGAGTGTTTTAGCCTTATATTCTATCAATCAGCATTTACAGATGGCATTATTCCATAACTTCTCTCTCATGGTTTATCCTGACTCTGTATCATGCTTGTTTAGGTAATTCTTTGTACAAAAACAGCTGAATTGCCAATTTAAACTTATACTTGAGCCAGAAGAGTCATAACTACTAAGAAGCTTTCGCTACATTACCATGCTTGTTGATCTGACGTAGATGTTGTTTTTCAGATGGCAGTTTCCGTCATTTGGCACCACTATGCCTGCCAATTTGCTATCAAGAGCAAGATGAGATGTCTGATCTGTCATCACCAGCAGCAATCTTTTAGCTTCTTTTCGCCATCCAATATGACTCTTAAAATAAACATGTAATTAGATCTTGCACAATCACATAGATCTCTATTGTGGTCTTTATCTCAAGAAACACTAAGTTCGAGTTTAACAAACATTAAGTCAGGTTGGAATGAAGTGCATAAATACAATGCTGTTTCCTAATAAGCACTGACTTTATTTGTATATTCTCTATTTTACCACAGCCATTTGACTGCACCAACTCCCAGCTGGAGATTTCTGGGCTTCCCTCAGAGGAAGAACAAGCCAGGTTTATGAACTGCAGAGCACCCAACACAATGTGAGTAGGAAAACGGCTATTTTCAGGCTCTTCCTTGGAAAGTGGTGAGTGAAAAGAATAGTTCTTTTGGAAAGGATTTTCCGAGCACATAAGTTATTCTTTCCCTTCTATATTTTTCTATTTATAACCCTCTTTCATTTCAGCCCCTCTGTCCTGAGCACATACCCAAATGAATAACATTGGTGAGGAATAAGCATTAGAAGACTGTATTCTTCTGTATTATGTTTTCACTCTATAGGTCAAAGAGAAAATAAAATCTTAAATTCTGGGGAATTTTGCATCTGAGCAAAAACTCGGTAATGTGAAGCTTTTTACCTCACAGACAGCTGCCTGAAGCATGGCATCAAAACCTCCTTCGGGTGTATCTATATTTCCAGAGATCTTTTGTCTGTGAACCGCTTTTTCAAACTCAGTAATGTTCTCCGTCAAAGATAGGACATGGATGTATCCATGAGGAGGCATACAGTCTAAATTGTAGTCACTATGTGGGAAAAGAAGAAAGGCAAATTCTATTTTGCTATGCTTCATTCAAAGATTCAAAATACTGTTCACAGTAAAATTATGTGGTTTGCTGTAAGAAAGGAATATATATATATATATATATATATAGAGAGAGAGAGAGAGAGAGAGAGAAACATATAAGCATATAAAATATAAATATATAAAATATAAAGATATATTTATATATTTTATAAATAGTATATATATTATTTATGCGTATATAAATATAAATATATATATTTTTTTGCCAAGGTAATTTTATTAGAGAAAACCTGTACTTAATAAAATCAAGAAAAAGTTCAATATTGGATATTTCTTTGCAAGTAGGAAATAGGAATATAATGGTTTGGTGTCCAAAAACTAAAGAAGATTAAGCACGTTTAATATAGGACACCTGAAGAGCTTTTATTATGCTAATATACATGGTTAATTTTTAAGAATTTGCAGTCATTTCCTATCATATTTGACCATGGTGCAGCAGAAAAACATTTCTGGGGAACTGTTTTTAGGAATTTAGTGAAAATATTATACTATTGTTTGATATTTTAAAATATTATGCTAATTTTTAAAACATTGTGTGGTGTGAAATTATTGATGAACAGTTTACTAAAATTGTTTTGAGAATCCCATGATGTCCCAAGAGCTGAGAATCATTCCTCAGGCACATGCACATTTAGGGAGAAGGAACATGAAACTCCATGAGGAGACGCATTCATTCCAACAGTTAGCAGAGTTATTCTGGTATATGAGTGTGTGTACTCTAAAGTGACCTGGGGAATTTGTGAAAGTAGGAAAGAAGATGTTAAAATGATATGTTATATTAAGGAAGAACTGAACACATTTCTCTCTGAGAATTCAACAGGCTAAATAAGATACTGTCTGACAAACTTGTATTTTTAAAGTCCGTCCTTGTTTCATAGTGCAGCATGTGCTCTTTAGAATGAGACTTTCAAAATGCTAAGAAAAAGGGCTCTTTCCAGAAAACAGACAAATTCCCCTCTTTCCAACTACCCTCCATGTCCTAGCTGAACTTTCTTTGAAGTTACCTCTCAGGCAACATAATTACAAACATAGTCACGATACAATAATGGAAAGGTAGTTGCATTACTGGCAAGGTAAGTACTTTATATTTGACAAAACTTAATTTAACAAATTTGGAACTATCAAAAAGGACACATACAGAATTCTCAAACAGGTATTTATATGCATGGTGGCTTGGATATTGGGAGTTTATCCAAAATCACTAATATTACTTGTGGGGTTTTTGTGATGAAACTGAGTGATATTTGAAAAAACAAAATAAAAAGTCCAAGCTACACATGATGTTGTAAGTTTTCAGGTAGGAACATACCTCCTCTACAAATATTTTAATTTCCCACTTAATAAAACAAAAATATAAAATTTAGTGAGTCCTTTCTATAAAAACAAAGAGAGATTTTATAAGAAAAAATTAATTTGATATTACGAAGTCCACATCAAACCCTAGATACCTGCATTGATTATGAATCCTTTCTGGGTGGATGCTAATGTATGGTGAAACTGTTTTATCAACATAGGAGCCAAATCCAAGGCGGAAGTCACGGGAAAAGTATGCCATTTTTCTAGATAAGTCATTTCCAACGGAATTTAATTTTTCAATATTATTATGCATTGATGCCGAGACATCAACCAGATAATAAAGGTCCACAGGGTATTTCTTCAGAGGATGAATTTTCAGCATAAAATTAGCTTCAGCTTCTGGTTCAAAGAAAGACAGACATTATGTAGTATTCATTTTAAACATCTCAGGATAAGCTCTCAATAAATCAGTCACATTTTATATACAGAACAACTAGCACTGATTTGTGCATACTGAATGAAGTTAGGAATATCCTGGAATAATTTTAAGGCAATTTGAAAACCATATTAACCATATCAATTTATTAGTTTCCAACTTCTACAATGTATTTCTCACAAATCTGTGGTGCAGATAGTGGTAGTAACAAATGGACCAACTCATTGTAAATGTAATAGATAGAGAATGTATTTATCACCATATGAACCCATACTTCCCTTAGTATCTAGGAAAGCACAGCACAATACAGTAAGCAGTGTTCTATCTCAAGTGTAGGTGGCTGTTTTGGTTTGAAGAAAAGTAGAAAGGCATCTTAAGAAAAGTTACCACTTATTGGATAAAGGTGCAAATTCATCCTTTTGGGTTAAGGCATATTTACATATGTGATGTGAAAACTCTGGTACTAAGTATGAGGTTAACCTATCTAAAATAAGTAGTACCTCATTATGAATTATATGATGAGATCCTTCCCAACAGCTAGTCCTGAGAAGGAATGAGAGACAGTGGTCTAAAGAATTGTACCCAGCACTGCCATGCTGGGGACCTGGGCAATGTAGGGAACAGTAACTGTCGAACACATAGTGGGTGCTTGATAAACGGATGTTGAAGAGGGATCACGGAAGCAAAGGAACTAGACAAGAAGAGAGGGTCATCATGAGGAGAAATGTGAGAGCTTCCCAACAAGTGTGAACCATACCATTTTATTTATTTCCCTGTCCATTATCATTTGATACAGGGACCGGTATCACTGTATAAAGGCCCTCCGTGGAGTTGGTAATTCTGTATGTAATTTTTTAAAATTTCTTCTAATTTGTTGATTGATTTTATTTTAGTATAACTGACACACAATGTTATATTAGTTTCAGGTGTAAAACTTAGTGGTTTGTCAAGTTTATACGTTATGCTGTGTATAACAGATGGTATAACTACCATCTGTCCTATTACATAGCTATTACAGTGACTACATTCCTTATGCTATGCCTTTTATTCCCATGACTTATTAATTCCATAATTAGAAGCCTGTAAGTACATGGTAAAAAATTCATCTCTTTAAATATGAGCAGTTTGTGAATTTTCCTTTTTTAAACAATAAAGTATATGCTTTTTAAGTCATTATTTGTCAGTAGAGAGTAATTTGAGTAGAACAATTTTTTTAATGAACACCAATTTGTATATACAATTGATAGTCTGATTTACTTATCAGAAGAATCCCCTAATTTATCAAATCCTATTTTTAGTCTTAATATGCTAAAAAGTAGCAATATTTCCTTTTAAATTGTTTTACAAATCAAATGTTTTTAAACCAGTTACAGAATGTATTCAAAATAAGTTTTTTTCTGGCATGTAATAATAATTATGGGGAAAATTACTCATTCCTAATTTGCCTGTATGTGCTGAAAACCCCTTTACTGCAACACTCTTAGTTTTTGGCCCAAGAGTTTGGGAGGAGAAACTGGGAGATGTGAAAGCCACCCAGCCCACTCTCTCACTCCTTCCCTTTATGAGATGGGCTGCCTCCAAAGAGCATATATTCATCTCTGCTTTTCCAGTGTCTGGTAAAAAGGCCTATCCCTTTGGAAGTGTCTTGAGTTTGGGTGGAAAAGTTCAATCCGGGAGACTGTCAGTATCTAGAAAGGGCCAGATTGATGAGAAATAGAAATGGAGCATAATTGGGGAATGTGGTTCATGTGGTTTAATGTGTGGATCAGCTGCTTCTTCTCCTTCTCCTCCTCCTCCTCCCCCACCTCCTTCCCCCCTCCTTCTCCTCCTTCTTCTTCTACAAACTGTGTAGTTGTTTTTTAACTGGTGACTTGGGGGTATAAGGCTGAAGACCTAAGGCACTGGCCAGATGGTGTTTTCATCTTGGTGATCATTACAGTTTATGGTGGCTCTGTCTCAGGAAGAATGGCTGTGTGTGTTCATGGAGTTACTGAAAAATACACTAGATAGTGTATTGTCCAGGTTGTTATAAAGTTGGTGGTTATCTTAGCCAACAGAAACTGCAAAGGAACAGTACTTAGAGGACTAAAATACTCAGAGAGATCTAACCAAATGGTAGCCCTACAAGGACCCCCAGCACATACCAGTCGCTCTTAGCCTTGCAAGAAAATCCTAGTCTCACTGGCCTCAGCAAAGAAGATGGCTGTAAGGAAGCCTCCCAAATGATCAGGGTTGGAGGATTTAGGCTGCTGTAGCTTGATTTTAAATCATATAAATGCTGGTCTCAGATATGTACCTGGGCTACTTGAAGACTTCAGCATGGGCTGAGGCCTCAGTAGGACAAAATTTTAATAAAGGGGGAAAGAGACTCTTTGTATACATAGGCCCTTTAATCATTTCCGGAGAAAATGATAATTACCACTTCTAAACTGCAAGGCATTTGAAGCGCCTAGGTGGTGAAGTCAGTTGAGCAACCAACTCTTGATTTCGGCTCAGATAGTGACTTGAGGGTCCTGAGATCGAACCCTGAGTCCAGCTCCACACTCAGTGGGAGTCTGCTTGAGATTCTCTCCCTTCTCCCATGGTCTCTCCCTCCGTCTAAAATGAATAAATCTTTTAAAAAATAATAAATCGCATGGCACTTGAGGTTCCCATAAAGTTCTAACTTTAAGCCATCAGCTCAATGGCTTAAAGTTATTTAGGCAGCCCTAGATAAGCTGACCCCAAACCCCATGTTTTGCCTATGAGCTTGAGATATTCCCCATATGCTTTCAAGCTGGCTCTTGATGGTTTCATTTTATACAACCTTCTTGGAGGCAGTAGAAATACCTTTTTATGGGAACATGAATACTGTGTCCTCAGATAAAATCTCCATTCAGTTCATTCTGGGGTGTCACCAACACAGGGCTCAAAATGTGGATGACATTAAGAGATTTTGAATATTTTAGATGAGAAAGAAACACATGTAAAAATAAGACTTAATATCAGTGAGATTATCAATGTAGACAGCAGTGTCATAAATACTATTCTGAGAGCAGATTCTTTTAGCGTCTATTTAAAATACTTACTTCAGTATTTAGTACACAGTAAATATATATGTGTTAGTAATTATCACTATTAGCCTCATTAGCATAGAAACTTCATTCATCTCCGAAGTTTCTGGGTTTAGTTCAGGCCCAACCACTCATAAATGTGTTTAATTCAACTACATTTGAAGCATATTTTGATACATCATTTCAAAAGGTCCTCATATTTTAACCTTAGTGAGAAGCTCATTATCTATTACTTCTTTCCTTCAGAGTAGGAAAAAAACTTAAATAGTTTCTCTGAGAGGAAAGAATATCATCTGGCCCCCAAATGTTTATGCCACTACTTATATTATCTCCAAGAAAGCTTCATTCTTATACCTTTTGAGATTTTTAAAGCCTTAGATCCTTGTTTCTATCGATCAACTTCAAAGGCAAAAAGTGGGTCTGTGACATAGAATAAGAAAGAGGGCTTGGAGGAAAGCAGAGACCTACTTAGAGCTTTTGCCAGTATTGGTTTGAATAGCCCAAAGAATTGAAAGTAGTTAGAATGAGCTTAAAATCACACAAATAATGGTGTGAACATCGCTGAAGACTTGGCTACAACCATGACTGGACATTAAGAAAAGATAACTAAAAATGTTCTGCATAAGATGAAACTGAAAAACCGAAAGAAAGTGTGGAAAACTATCAGGAAGAAAGAACAACCAAATTCTGTTCATTATACTTGGGCCAGGGAAGGAGAAGTCCCCAGAATGAGATGGGTTTGAAACATCACGGCACAGACTCCAGCACATTTCTGAATTTCTGGGATAAAATGAGGATAAAATGATTGATAAGTACCAGGGCTGGAGGGGAAACAATGTGTGATTTCTGTATTTTTCTGGTTTTTAAAAAAATTTGAATTTAGGAAGAATACCTGAAAAATTTTACATTTTAAGTTAAGCTACACTAAATTAAAGGGCATTCTTTTGTTACAGTATTAAAATGAATTGAGTTTGAAATATTTTCTTAAATTGGTGAAGTATAAATTACACTAATACTTATCATTTACATTGTATTACTTCTGAGGCAGAATTGGAGAATTCCTTTTTCTCTCCTATATTCCTAAAGATTTCATTTCAGTGTTCTTATGGAATATCAAGTAGGATCAATACCTTCTTTCCGTTATTTTTCCATAAGATTGATAGGTAAAAATAAGAAAAAAATATATAGTTTAAGAAGTAAAAAGTGAAAGAAAATATCACTTTTAAATTTCATTTTAAATATATAAAATAGGGGCGCCTGGGTGTCTCAGTGGCTTAAAGACTCTGCCTTCGGCTCAGGTCATGATCCCAGGGTCCTGGGATCGAGCCCCGCATGGGGCTCTCTGTTCGGCAGGGAGCCTGCCTCCCCCTCTCTCTGTGCCTGCCTCTCTGCCTACTTGTGATTTCTGTCTGTCAAATAAATAAATAAATAAATAAAATCTTTTAATAAATAAATAAATATATATATAAATATATAAAATATATAATAAGGTCCTACTAACATTCTTTAAAAAATTTAATCAGTATCCATGAAAAAATTTTTAAATTCTTAATAGATGCTACCTTAAAAGTAATGAATTTTTATAAGAATAAATAATTATAAATAAATCAAGTCTAAATCAATATTGGAGAATAAATGCATTTTCTTTAAAGATTTTATTTATTTATTTGACAGAGATCAAAGGTAGGCAGAGAAGCAGGCAGAGAGAGAGAGAGAGGAGGAAGTTGGCTCCCCGTGGAGCAGAAAGCTCGATGTGGGGCTCGATCCCAGGACCCTGGGATCATGACCTGAGCCGAAGGCAGAGGGTTTAACCCACTGAGCCACCCAGGCGCCCAATAAATGCATTTTATACTTAGGTATGCATTGTATGTGTTGTGATAGAAAGGACTTTTATATTATAAGGAGCAATGGTTCTGTATATCTGGAATTGGTAAAATGTAGCTTTATATATTATGCCTCAAAGCTGGCACATCTTTGATGCCACATGTGGTTTTTAGATGAGCTTATTAAATATAATTTAACAAGCATTTATTATAGATGCATATTGTAAAATATAGTTCTGTCATGGCTACATTGGAGAGATGACTTAAACACATTATATAATTCACTGATTTGCATACAGAAATTTAAATAATAGTGGGAAAATGAAAAAAATCAAACCCCATAATGACTGATACAGATATTAAGCATTTCTCTTTACACTTTCCCATTCCCCATACTGCCTTCACTTAACATCATTTACTACCTTATGTTGAAGTCTCCCACATCTTTTATTTTTAAGATTTTATTTATTTATTTGACAGACAGAGATCACAACTAGGCAGAGAGGCAGGCAGAGAGAGAGGGGGAAGCAGGCTCCCCGCTGAGCAGAGAGCCCAATGAGGGGCTCAATCCCAGGACACTGAGATCATGACCTGAGCCGAAGGCAGAGACTTTAACCCACTGAGCCACCCAGGTGCCCCGAGGTCTCCCACATCTTTATCCAACCTGTATCTCCTGCTGAACTGCAGCCTCATATATAGTAAATAAGTCACCACCTCAATTTAAAATGTCTCAGTTTGAACTCAGTACCATGCCTTCCACAGATGGCAGCCAGCCCTCTTCCTTTGTTGCCTGAGCCACAGCCCAAGTGTCCCTGTGCTCATCAATCACCAACCCCTGGAGATGCTACCTCCCATTATCCCTCATGTCTGTCCACTTTTCTCCTGCCTCATTACCATGACTGTCATTGCTTATCTATAGCACTGAAACAGTTACTCAACTTTTGAACTGTTAATTTTTAGTCTCAGAAAGGTTCAACCACCATTATATATACAAAAATGAACAAACTAAATTCATTTAAGTGTATAAATTTAAATGTAACACCCCCCCCCAAAAATGCACCCTTGTTTCAAATCCTAAGTGTTTAAAAAAGAGCAAGACAAAACAACAACAACAAAAAACAAAGAAAAAGAGCAAGACATTTTGAAAGGATATAGTTACATTTATTAGAAACATAATATACCATAAGCCTCATGTATAAGCTACTGAAAAGTAATGTTTAGAGGCACCCGGTGGCTCATTTGGTTAAGGAGCTGCTTTCAGCCAAGGTCATGATACCAGGGTCCTGAGATTGAGCTGGGTGGGGCTGTCTGCTGACTCTTTAGAAAGCCTGCTTCTCCCTCTCCCTCTGCCTGCTAATCCCCCTGCTTGTGCTGTGTCTCTCTCTGTCAAATAAATAAATAAAATCTTTTTTAAAAAAGTAATGTTTAGTTAGAAAAATAGGAAGATTTGTATGGAGAGGCATATCACCCCAAAAAAAGAGAACTAAGATGGTTAATAAGCTTAGGAATCTTCGTAGTACTAGGAAAAGGGGCAAAAGAAACAAGTAACAGAGCAGTTACACTTAAAAAACTAAAGGATTGAAAAGAATGAGAAGACAAGGGTGAGTCATGAAAGCCTTAACTGGACATCCATTTTTCTTGTGAATAACCTGATAATAACATTAAAAATCTAAATAAATTTGTATATATGTATTTTTATTTTTAATATTTATATATTTATTATGTAAATATAAAAATATATATTATATTTATTTGTATTATACAAAGATACATGCAAAACAAATATCATTGAAGATTTTAAAAAACTTCATTCAGATTGGATTGGGGTTGACTTATATTTACTTATTCACTTGGATTCTGTTACAATTATAGAGTTCATTTATAGAAAACTGTCACTGTTATAATATTGCCTTCCTAATCAGGAACGTCAAATTTTTCTGCACTTTTACATATCTTCTTTGAGGTTACACAATGGATCTTATGAATTTTTTTAAAAACTTTGTCCCTGGATAGTTTATATTTTAGGTTGCTGCTGTGAATTGATCCCCTTTTTCATTATATTTAATATCACATAGGAAATTCACTGATTTGAATACTTCATAAAAAACAACCTGCCTTGTTTATTTATTTTTAAAAACATGTATTCCTTGTTTATATAATGATGGCTGAGGAATTTTTTTTTTTTAAAGTAAGCTCTAAGCCCATTGTGGGGCTCAAATTCGTGACCCTGAGATCAAGAGTCCCTTGTTTTTTATTTTAAATTTTAAAAGTTAATTTTAGTTGATTTGCTTGAATTTACCAGAGACATATAATGATAATTTTGCTTTATCTTTTCAAAATGTTTATAACTTGTATTTGTTTTTTAAATCTAATTGCTTTTATATAAAACTTCCAGAATAATTTTAATACATATTAAAGAACTGTTCTTCAATTTTGGTTTTGGCAGAATGGACACTAAATTTTACTGTATGATTTTTTCAGCATCTGTTGAAATAACAATATATATTTTTTCCTTTTGGCATTATTTTTCTTATCACATAGGATTTAAGGTGGTTTCCTGAAATGTTAAGGATTTGATACTCGGGTTATGCAAACTTTGTACAGATTGGGTAGCTTCTAGGCCTTCTCTAAAAATAATGGAAGAGTTTATGTAGCCTAGGGATAATGCATTCTTAATGTTTGGGTGAACATGAAATCATTTCTTCCTAAGAAAACATTAAGTACACAAGGTGGGTTTTTCTTTTATAATGCTCTTAATATCTTTTATTTTTATTAGGTTTCTTAGATATCCCCCACTTCCTGAGCAATATTAGTCATATATATTTTCCTTAAAATTATGTATATTATCAACATTTATGCATTTTACCATAGATTTTTATACCTAATACTTTCATAGTCTTTTTTTCTTTAATATTTGTTTCTTTTGTTATAATCTATATAACTGGGTTATTTACTTTTTCGCTCTTTTCTTAATTAGCTTTGACAACAATTTATCTGTTTTTATTTGACTTTGCAAAGAACTAACTCTTGGAATTATACATTAATTTTACCTTTTAATTTCTATTTTGCATTTCATTAATTTTTTTTCATAACTTATGAATTCCTTTCTCTTGTTTTTCTTATGGCTATTCTGGTTTTGTTGCTCCTATATCTTAATTTGGATGCTTAGTTAATTTTTTTCATTCTTCTTTAATAATAAAAAGCATTTAAAGCTTTTAGTTTTCCTGGGAGAAAACTTAATCACATATATACACAAAATATATGTATTTTGATGTGTGTTGTTGTTATTGTTATTATTAAATAGTCTATGACTATAGTTTTGTTTTACTCTTGGAGACAATTTAGGAAAAGCTTTACTTAGTTCATTATTTAATATTTATTTATCCTCTTATATTGATTTCAAAAGTTATTGCATAGTGTACAGTGATGTTGATCTATAAAAAGTTTCACTTTTCGGGATTAAGTTTTCTTGTTTAAAATATGATTAATATCTAAAAATATTCCATGGCTTTTGAAAATATTATTTTATATATCAAGTGCTGTGGACTAAATTGTGTTCCCTCCAAATTTGTGTGTTGAAGCCCTAACCCATAATGTGAAGGTGTTCGAAGATGGGGCCAATGGGGAATAATTAGGTTTAGATGAGGTCAGGAGGGTGGGGCCCTCATGATGAGATTAGTGCCCTTTTGGGAAGAGATACCACAGAGCTCATTCTCTGTCTGCCTCTCTTGTGTGTATCTCTCTCTCCCTCTCTAGGCACCAGATCAGCCAGGATCTTGATCTTAAACTTTCTAGCTGTGAGAAAATAAATTTCTGTTGTTTAAGCCATCTATTGTACAGTATATTGTTATGGTAGCAATAGAAGGTAGTGAATGGCATAATCTTACCAATCTAATTTCTTTCATTTTTGTATATCCCTTTCCAACAGTTGCTTATATGTGTCCACACCAGGCTGCTTTATATGGTGAAGAACATAGTTTTAATTGGAAGCTGGGAATATGTCTAGAGCCAAGAAAGAAATAGAATTTGTTTTTCTGGTAATCTAAGAATCTGTAAGAAATAGCTCAGTTTTGGAATAGGGAGGTCACGTGTCAATAATGGTTATTTAAAAATTTAATGACAGGACAAGACCACCCAGAATGAAATAATGGCAGACTTGAAGGCAATTGCATATGGCTTAAAACTAAGTGCATCTAATTGACTGATGCATACCTGTGTACCTGAAATTATCTTGCCATGTGTAGTTTGTACACTGAGATTCTCTAGCACCAGAGGAAAATGAATAATTTCCAGTGGCCTACTACTTGTGTCAAACTGTGGAATACAATGTGATAAAATGGCAATTACAAGAGAAGTATAGGAGGAGAAAGATGTGTTAATCTCAGGGGCCATCACAAAGCAGCTCAAGTAAATTATGATAATTATGAATTGTAGTTTTCTGTTTAAAAGTTTATCACACAGACTCTAAGGGCTTAGCTTAATTTACATCTCTTACTAATTAATTAATCAACTAATCAAGTCAACAAATACTATGGAGTGCTTACTACAAGCCAGCACTCTGTGAGGCTTTGGAAAAACAGTGGAATAAAACATGTTCTCTTTCTTTCAGAGCTGGCAATGGAATAGGAACACAATTACATTACAATTTGATCAAGTCTGGAAACATGTAATTATAATATAATGTGGTCAGGTTTGCAGAGAGTGTCCGAGGCCACACAGATAGCTAGCAATAGGCACAAAAAAGAGCAAAATTCTGATTTCTTTATTCGGAGCCCACTGTTATTTCTATTACAATAATACTGCCTTCCACAAAATATTAAATGTGAGCAAATAAAGGTAAATGTAATTTCAAGTCAGAACCATCATAGATTTATTTGAAAATCACCAAACCTGGCCGCAGCTGGATCAACACTTCTCCTGGTGTCACCTGGGTATTAATTTCATTTTCATTTGGTATTACATGCACAGATGGGTATTCTATTGAATCAATTGAGCAGCCTTTGCTTATTAAATTGGAAATAATATCACAACGCTCACTCCTTGATCCACCAGAAATGAAATCCTGTTTAAAAAAAGGAAAATCACTGACGTTTTTAGTGCATACCATCTCGGGTTACAATCAAAGAAAACCACACAGCAAATATTGAAAAGAAGCCATCTTCTAATACTGCATAGATTATGCAACTATTCAAAATAGCTGCATGTTTCCAATAAGAAAACTAGTAAATTTCTCTTAAATAAAGCTTTAATTCCTAAACTTTATTTAAAAAGAAGAAAATGAATATTAAAGAGGAGATTTAAGCCAAGGACTTTAAATATTGTTAACTGATCACTGTAAAATTACACCAACTTAATTCTTTCTAAATATTTTATGTGGGAAAGACTGCTTCAAAAAATTTTATTCAAAATAGGCCATTCAGTCATTCCACATATAAATTTCAGTTCTCAAAGAACCTAGCTGATATGTTTATTAAATACTATTATATTTGGAATATAGAGCAAGCCCTCAGGGGTCACATTCCTAATAAGATACTAAAATTTTAAAAAATGAATTGGAAATCTATATTCCTTAGACCATAAAATCCCCCAACTTCTTAGACACATAATAGCCTGGAAATAATTTAATAAACCAAGGAAGATGTTTATAATGAGGCTGAGAGATACAAGGTTGCAGCTAAAATTCTCCTGATTTTGTAACTGAATCTAGAACTTTTATTACCATTCAGGATTGGTTGGTTGTCATTCAATAGCCGTATAATAAACTTGGAATTAGTGGAGCAAGCTTAAAATTCAATTTATCGTGACTGAGAAAAATTTGACATTTTTATTTTTCACGTAACCATTCAGGTTTTCCCCTAAGGACAGGAAATGTATCAAAAAGTATAAAAATATGTTTTTTTTATATAGAATGTTGGCCTGAATTATTTGAAATATTTGTTTACACATTAGCTGGATATTTGCTTAGTGATCTTCCTGGCAGTGGTTATTCTGATCTGGTATTCAGTCTTTCCTCCTTTAGTTCAGCTGATTCAGGGAATTGGGTTTCCAACTAATCATTCAGTCAAAGAATACAGATTGAATACTTACTGTAGTTTGTTAGGTGCTGAGGATACAGAATGGAATAAGATAGACTCTCTCCCTGTCATCAAAGAGTTAACAGACCCTTGGTGAATTCAGCCACTAAGCAAGTAAATGTGATTTTTATGGGAGTTAAACTTAGGGGAAGCACAGAATTTCATAAGGTTATGGAAGAAGGAGATTATATCAAGTTCAATATTAGTTGAATATTATATCACTAATTATGAATAGCAGCATCCGTTGCAATGGTGAGTATTAGATGGGATGGTGGTAGGCAATATAAAAACACTCATACAAGGATTTTAATTTAATTCCTCTCTTAATTTAGAGCAGGTTTGGAAAACTAGGGACTATGGGACAAATACAACAATCCGTGGCCTGTTTTATATCGATTGAGTGCCAGAAAATGCTTTCTACATTTAAAAAATGCTATAAAGCAATAAAAAAGAAGAACATGCAAGAGAGACAGTATGTGGCCCACAAAACAAAATTTTTTACTGTGTGGCCCCTTATAGTACTGATTCTGAATTAGAGTGTGAAACACACTTTAAAATATAAAAATAATTGAAAGATAAAAGAGGATATATCCATTTCAATTAAGATGTCCAGCTGTCATTTGGTAAACCACTTCATGGGAATAGAAAAATTCAATTTGCTATGCTATTGACACCTAGATTTTTAGCCTGAAGTTTAAAAAGTCCAAACCTTAATTTATTGTATCCAAATTTATTCATCTATTGATAAAACTCAGAAGTACTCAGTATACGATTTAGTTTATAAAAAGTTTGGAATTCCTCAAAGAAAGGTAGCATGGACTGCTATCAATGGTATCACTTTCCTTTAGAAAGCTCCAGGCTAGATGGGGGGATCCCTCCTTTCTTGGAGCTTGAGGAATCTTGAGGGTGCATGAGGCTTAGAACCTCAGTGCTCGCTCTTGCCTCAAATGACGGACCACAGACAAGGGGCCACACACGTTTTACAGATGTAAAAAACCCCAAGACTTCAAATCAAGAAGGAAATAAAGTACAAATAATTCCGATTTTCCTTTTCAGCTAGGGATTTTGTTATTTGTGTATACAGAAATGGAAAAGAAGGGAATATGGTTAATTCAGCTCTAACTATACATCACACTATGCCGTTTGACCTAAATGTCAAATCATTTTGCTGAAATAGGCAAAATAGTCTCAATTATTTTGCAGTGTCTGAATCAGCAATAGCTGTTTTTACTCCACTATAAAAACTGAGTTAGAAAAACACTGCCAATTTGACAATTAGGTTTGAGAAGGGAAGAAAAGACCGTGACATCAAAATAAAGAATGGAATGCTGCCCCTACCCACTGTGGCCTACTTTCTACTTTGTATAAAAGAAAAGAATTTGAAACCACACCCTTTTAATTTGTGGTGTTTTGTGTCATTTTAATTTCTTCTAATTCTTATGTTTTATTTTTTCTGCAAGAAATACACAAGCAAAAATCATACTCCAACTATCTGCATCTCAAGCCTATTTGTACATGAAAAGCCCAGATCGAAGTTACCCCAGATGGCTTTTCATCAGTTGTTACTTTCATCCATTCAAGATAATGATCTGGGGAAAAGTAAGAAAAAAGGTTTTTTCTTCTCATTTCTGAGTCTTTATGATTTCCAAACATGGTAATCTGCACAGAAATGAAGAACTCTATCATCTTCCTTTTGACAGTGAATGCCCTTTGTGTTGTCTTTCAGTATAATTATGTTCGAAGGCTGCCTTCTAAACTTCTGGCTATGTAATCAAAATCTATGTCTGGCATAGCAGGCAAGAGAGAAAGAGAGTTCTTCAAAACTCATCAAGATTTTGTTTTTGTTAAAAGGGAGGTTGAGGCATTAAACTAGGTAATAATGGTAAGGTCCTTTCTATCCTAATTATTGTCTAATTATTTTTATGTAGCATGGAGAGAAAGAGAAACCCAAAAGTACAGAATAGCAGATTAACATGCTATAAAAAAGAATGTAGGCATATTGGATATACCCTGTCTAAATTTTCTAGTGATGTTTTACTTCTTACCAGTTTTGAAAGTTGTACAAACCAGGCTTAATTTGTTACTGTTTATTTATTCTAATCATGAACAGAGAAAAAATGCCTATTCTTTCCCGGTCCCTCCACTATCATCGGTTAAGAAATAAAAGGCATCAGTTGCATATGTGCCTAATGGTGGGTAAGCTTTCAAAATTAACCATTCTACTCTTCCTCTCAATGATGTCAGGTCAGCCTGCAGGGAGTGGACAGCTCCTTCTGTTAATGAAGTGGCTAGTGGCTGAGTCCTAACACTGGTTGCTCACCCTTAGGTGGTGTTCTTAACACAGTCCTCTTGGTTTCCTAAACCTGAATGAGTTGCTCTGGAGTCTTAAGTTCTTAAAGTAACAACTCCCATTTCTTAAGCAATGCCTGGGTCAAATGCTTCTCACAACACTGTTTCATTTAATCCTCACTACAATGTGTCAGAGGTACAATTATTATTTCCGAGGGAAAACTGAGGTTCAGAGTTGTTAGAGTAATATGTCCAAATTTATACAGTTAGAAACGGATGGCCTTGGGATTTGAATCCAAGGTGATCTCATTTCAGAGCCTGCTTTTTAAATACATGAATTAGATGCTTTTTTTCCCCTGCCATCTGTGTTCTATCCCATGATGGTGTTTCTTGTGTTTGTTTTCTGGTTGATTATAAATTTTTACTGCACACGCTCCCTTCGTCCAGGTTTTTTCTGGGGACCCAGGAGCACAGAGACCTTGGAAAGAGGGTGGGTGTCCCGCGATCAGGTAGTCCTCCGGCTGCTGCACTATGGACTGGCGGGCCCTGGGACTGCGCCGAGGGTCCTGCTGAGCTTGGGGGAAACCGGCACTACCTAGAAGACTATTTTGCAACATGAACAGCCAACAGATTTCCAAATGTTTCCTGAGATCCTCTTCTGAAGCATTTGACCAAAGCAGACACAGGTTTGCCTCTTCTGCTTCGGCAGCCACCCAACATTTCCCCTTGGATTACCTCCTTCCATTTGGCCACCAGTTTCTCTGAATACTCAAAATCCTTCCCCTTGTGGCAGGACTGACATTTGCTATGTCTATGACTGTGCCTCTCCAGATTTTCTGTGCCAGCAGCAGTTATCAGATAAAGGAGTCCCTCTGGAACTTGGCATTATGTATGCCTGGGATGTTAACATTTGGCTGACAACTGGCTGCTTTAACCACCTAAGTCCCTCTCAACTATACTGACCAAAATTCTCAGCAGCACACCAAGTTGATGTAAACTTCATGGCTCTAAGGATCTTCCTTAGTAAAAATCTAAAATGGAGTATTGGCCTAGGGTCGGGAAATATCAAGCCATGGAACATTCTTGACAAGAAGACCTAGAAGTAAACGCCAAACTCAGGGTTAGAGAGATGAGGAAAGGAGGCTCAGAGAATAGAGTGAATTCTATCTGGTCATTTGTCTCATCAGAGGTGATGGGATAGAAACTAGAAACTCTGGAATTGTCCACTCTCTGACATTGCTTGATTCTGTGGGGTCTGGTGAAGCACTGCATAGTTTTGAGTGACATCTCAAATTTTCTCACTGGTAAAGCCTAGAGTATATTCAAGAAGGCTTTGGTTTGTCAGTAGGAGGGACACTTACTTTCAGATATGGCCACTATTTTCTGAACTCCTCCCCTGCCTCTTTCCTGACTTGCTTTAGAAGAAAGTAATGTCCATCATCCTTTGCTACTTTTCAGCTTTCTTTTTCCTCTTGGGAGATCATAAAGCAAGCAGTAACAGGAGAGGTTGGAAAGATGATGGTAGGTGCAGTTTTTGAGCACAATCACAGGAAGCAAAAGCTAGAGATTTCTTTTCATGTCAAGCAAAATTCCATTAAAGATCTATTTGTTCCAATTCACAAGAGCTATGTCAACAAATATAAAATTACCTATATAATTTCACAAAAGAACTCCCAGATTAGTAGATGGCTTCTTCATTACAACTTATTATATAAGATAGTCCTGACCAAAGGTCATCAACAAAAAAGAAAATTCACAAAACAACTTCACAGCCAAGAAAGAAAGAATGCATTGTAATTTTTTTACTAAGAAGTTTGTTATTGGGGTATGTTTCTCTTATTAGAATATAAAAACACTAATTTTGAACAATAAACAACTTCTGAATTATTCTTCATTCCACAGAATTTAAATGTACACAGTATTGCATGAATAGGGTCACATGTCGAAGGAAAAACATCCCATTTTTCATAAGTAACTGGCAAATTGATGGACATTGTTATGAAATGGAGTAAATAACTTATCTCTAAGTATTTCAAGTAAAAACAAATGAAAGAGACCAATAAACTAACTTGCTTTTCTTTAATAAGCATGTACAAGACTATGATCCAACTTGGATATATAACCTACTGCCCCAAGCTGCAGCAAGAATTTCACACAAAGCCTACTGACCTATCAAAAGTCACTTTCTGTGTTTGCCAATTCTCTCTATAGAACAGATGGAAAACATAAAATGGTTTGCACTTCATTTCAAAATTACTATAATTTTCCTAATGAAAAGGTTATACTTTATATTAAGCCAGATATTTCCAAGCATAAAACCAAATAAAATTTTCCTGATGCTCAGCAGTATCTTTCTTTTTCCTGATTCACCTTCAAGGCATAAAATACTAGGGCAATGAAATCATGCCTAGAGAGAAGGTCAACTATGAGGAACAGAGAAAATAGCAAAAAAGAGAAAAGGCAAGAAAAGAGAAGGGAAGGGAGACAAGGAAAGAAGGAAGGAAAGAGGAAGGAAGGGAGGGAGGAAGGAAGGAAGGAAAGAAGGAAAAGAAAGAGGAAAATAAGAAAGAAAGAAAATGGCGCACCTCTTGAGCACACCATCCACATTCCGGACCCAGCGCGAGGCACTTGGTGCAGGACACTGCATTCGAAGATGCACATCTATTGTCTTCTGTAATGGAGGACAAAATGAGGTGTTACTCTCATATTGGGAAGTATATACAATTCTAGACCAAAATGCATTTTGAAAGCTGAAGCAAGTTGACCAATAGTTTTAAGTACACTACATTAAAAAATATATAATTTCTGGGGCGCCTGCGTGGCTCAGTGGGTTAAAGCCTCCGCCTTCGGCTCAGGTCATGATCTCAGGGTCCTGGGATCGAGCCCCGCATCTGACTCTCTGCTTGGCGGGGAGTCTGTTTCCTCCTCTCTTTCTGGCTGCCTCTCTGCCTATTTGTGATCTCTATCTGTCAAATAAATAAATAAAATCTTAATATATATATATATATATATATATATATATATACACATATATATATAATTTCTTTGGGAAGAGGTAAGGTTAACTGCATTGCAATTAACAGATATAATATTTCCTGAGTAGTTATTATTTGGTTTTATAAGGCTGGGGAAAAGGAAGGTGATGAAAATGTGATATTAGTTAGGTTTGGGGTTTGGCTTGAATTCTACTACAAGAGTAAAAGACACTCCACATTTTTTAGTGTGCTAAAGTTCATTGTATTTCATATTATCTGAACTAATATGGCATTTTTGGATCTAGAATTTTTCCTATAAAAATAGTCATATACAGTCCTCAATCTGAACATTTCAATCCATGTTGGGTCACAGTGAATGAACTTTCTGAAAAATGATCTTGATATCTTGAGAAATGATGACATATAGAGTAATCTAGTAATCTACTAGTCTAGTAATCAACTCAGGAATTCTGATTGTCTTACTATTGATTATTTTTACTTCATGGGTACCAGAACCAAATATAATAACGTGTTCAACATTTTAGACATAAAGTAGTTAAAATGGATAAATTGTTTTAGTTTACCCAATTGAAGATCGCTTTAAGATCATGACCAGTTCACTTTCCCATACATTCCCACACTTAGCTGGACATTTTAGTAATATAGCTGTGCCTGGAAACTACTTACCTTTATCTCTAGTCACTAACTACTTATATCATTATGAAGAGACTCATCATTATGAACTTAAACACATAAAATGCAGTAAGAATGAGTCATAAATTATTTTATCATGAGTTTTTAATAGAATAATCACATACTTCTACAGTCCATCCTTTACTATGAAATATCACAAGGACACTGGAAATGAAGCATTCTATTCATCTCACTCACAGGCATACAGTGAATAACAAGCATTCTAGCTGTAAGTAGGTCACAGTCCAGGTGAGGAGATAACTATATAAGCAAACAACAAAATACAGTAAGATAAGCACAAGAGAGATATCACCAAGGCACTATGGGAACACAGTCAGGGGCTTCACTGCTTTAGAAGGAAGGGCAGAATTCTGGTTTCTCTTCAGATCGCATAAATCTTTCCCTTGTACTAGAAGGAAGGGCAGGAGTGTGGGAAGAGGGTATGTTTTAAGGATGATCCCTAGAGGCCATGAGATCTAGTATATCTCTTTGCCATTCCATTTGGTTTCTTCTAATCTGTATTTATCTTTTAAAAAATGTAATGAAAGACGCATGAAAGGACTGTGTGTGTGTGTGTGTGTGTGTGTGTGTGTGTGTGTGTTTGTGTTTACAATCACATAGAGACATGGTAGTTTGAAAGGGGATCAAGGCCACAAAATCTCTTGCTGTCCCCATCCAATCAGTTTTTCTTTTTTTTTCTCTTTCAACTTACTCTAACGATCTAGAATACACAGTTAAAACAGCTGTGACCTAAAGACAGCATGGGGTGGGCTTTGACAGTGGGAAGAGAGAAAGAGGAGCTGCAGGAGAGTAAGTACAGCAGAAAGGTACTACTTGGGGTAGTAGTGAGCACCCTTCTCTGTATATCCTCAGACAACCAACAAGTTAAGCCCAAACCATCCCTCCTTAACTCTTCTCTTTTTAAAAAAAATTTTTTTAATTTTATTTTTTCAGTGTTCCAAGATTCATTGTTTATGCACCACACCCACTGCTCCATGCACTATGTGCCCACCTTAATACCCACCACCAGGGTCACCCATCCCTCCACCTCCCCCAAAACCCTCAGTTTGTTTCTCAGAGTCCACAGTCTCTCATGCTTCGTCTCCCCCTCCAATTTACCCCAATTCTCCTTAACTCTTAATGGCTGTTCTATTATCTCTCTCTGTGTCCCCTTGCAGCCTTTGTCCTTGGCTTTATACCAACTTTAATAAACATGATCTACACTTCTTTACTGATTTGTCCAGACCTGGTCTAGACTTCCAAGGACAAAAAATAACTACTGTTTTGGGCAGCTTTTACTACTAGTATGGCCACCTGTCTATGAAGACTTCATAAGTTAAAATCCTTCTATCTGGCTTAGCCTGCCAAACTATAAAAGGTGCTTATTTCTAAAATATTTAGAAGAGAGAATGACCTTTTTAGGTTTGTTCTCAGAAAGAAATCAAGCACATTTGCAGACCTAACTTGGCCTTTACCAACTCTTAAACTTGACCTGACTGGAACGTGGAAGTAAGTCTGTTTCAGTTCAGACTTGACTCACTCTTTAACTCCGTAGGTAGGACACTGGCACTGGCAGTTAAGATTGCACTGTCTTGGAAGGGAAGCTGCTGCTTCTATGACTGTGGTCTTTGTTTCTCATAGTTGTCTGACTGTGTCCTAAGCTAACCCAGATTCAAGGTCAGGTCAGTCTCCTACTTCCAAGACATGAGTGGTAAATAATGAGTTTACAAGCAAAAATCTTTCTTTATAGTCTGCTTTCTGACCATTTCTTTTAAAAAGTTCTACTGCCAACTTCTGTTCTCAAACTTCAGACACCTAAGAATGATGACCAAGAGGGATAGAAATTTTGGTTGTGTCAATATGTCCCAGGTTCCAGGGTTGATATTTCTCAGTCTACATAATTATAGGAAAAATGATCCCATAAATGGATATGGAGGAGGCAGACCTTATGATTCTGCAGAACTGGAGGAAGGCCATAAATTGAACTCCATGGGAATAGTGTCAAATGTTACTGCTGGAGAGTGTCATGGTTGGACTTTACAGAAGACAAACCAGATACACTTTGGTAAGCAGAATCGTAAAGGTTTTTCTTTTTAATTTTAAATACACATTAAGTAAATACCTAAAGTGCACATATCACACCAATAAGAACAGTTCTCTACACTGAATGGTTATGCTACTATGGAGGCTATTAGTTAATATGTGCTAAAGGGATATGTGTGTGTGTGTGTGTGTGTGTGTGTGTGTGTATCTGTCCCTCTGTCAGATCATCCTGTGTAAATAGAAATCTTTATATTGAACACACATTAATTAGTGCATGAATGTGGTTTACAGACCAGACATGGGCAGTTTGTCATCAGCCTCTAGGTTGACTCTGTTCATTGGCTGCCCCATCCCTGATGCAGCATCATAGGAGGCTGCTTTCCAGTGGTGCTTTCCTAGCAGCCCTCAGCACTGACACCCCATTAGAAGGGGTGCCCAAGTGCTTCTTTGTGCCACTCTGTGAGAGTGGTAGCTACTTGTCCAGCTGTTTAGTAGTATGGCATAGCACTATATTCTTTATGTTCTAGCATTGTGTTTTTATCAAGGATACTTTTTTGTGGATCTTAATGGAAATTAGTAAAGACAATGGAAGCAGAATCATATTTTAAACTGTATATCTTCAGAAATCTCTTTTGTTCTCATTTGCTTTAGTCCTAACTGCCTCACAAATCCCATGTCATTAAAAAAATGTGCTACCAAGACAAATTAGTAAAGGATTAAATGTTATCTAAGTGTGTGCATTCTGAAAAATTCTATTCCTTGATCTATGAGCATGGGCTGAGATTCTTACTTTTACTCCTGTTACAACTGCAGGTAACAGAAATGATGAGGTAGCATTGCTAAATAGTTACTGGAAATAAAGTTCCAAATTTCCACAGCACTGTTACTTAATAGCAATGTGTTCTTAGGTTGAGGTTCCATTTCTTCCAAGGTAACATAGGGCTAACTATACCTATATCAAAATATTGATATGAGCTGAAATGAGAGCAAGCATAAGCATGCCAAGCATAGTAGTTAGGATAAGGTAGACACTTAGCAAAGGGACTATTATAACTTATTTATAAATAATATTATAGTAATTTATATGTGTATATGTACACACATATATATACACACGTCATATATATAGATCTAGCTCCAAAAAAAGGGAGAGGTGTTATGTGTCTTTAAATTTGTTGTAAATAGGATTAGTTGTATTTAAAATGAAAGTCCCTTGGATCATAAACACAAAGTTTTAAAAATATAGCTAATATATAAAAATAACTATTAAATAAAAAGCTACTACTTTTATTTTGGTTATTTAAAAATGACTCTTAAAAGCCAATTTATTCAAATATACACACATCAGTTCAATCTGTGACAAATACAATTCTGGCATGACTATAATTGATTACCGAAAATCTTACAACACCTTCATTTTGTTTCCATTTTTCAAAGTGTACCTTGACTTAATCTGAATATTTTTCTGATTATTTCCCAGAATTAAATGTTTCTGACGCATGTAAAATGACCTTTATAACAGTCTGTCATAAAGTATAATAAATATCTATCATCAACAGGATAAAGTAACACAAAAATCAGGAAACTACATATTTGTGACTGTCACTTAGATATTCTTTGTTTTAGATGATCACTTATTCATATATTTTGAGAATGTTTAATCTATAGAAGTAAGAAGTGAAAGAAAATGGGCCAAAAAACCCCCAAAAAACAAAAAAACAAAAAAACTAAAAAAGGCTCGTAATAGCCCGTAAGATTCAACATTTAGATTGGGATCTTTCCACAAGTCAAGTGATCAGAGAAAGTGAAATTTTTGGAAACATTCCTAATGTTTTTCTGCTCTGAAGTCTACACCACAACATTTCAAATTTAAAGGATGCCCAAAGTTATCTGGAAGAAGGAGCAATTAAAACTGATAACGATTGTGGTCCTTGATATTCAGAATCAATCATTCTGGATT